ATAGCTTTTAAACAACTCTCACCCCATGTTTGCTCTCTTTTTATAAAGTATGTCATCTTCTAATTTTCCAAGTTTTTACAAACTTTCACTTTGCTACAAATTATTGAAATCAGAGCTACATGAAAAATTTTATGTTGGGAAAATCATATTATTTCTATTATAAATCTTTAAAAGTACAATTTATAAGCTGGTGTCCTAGAGCCAAGGAGAAAACAGGATTTAAAAAGAACACAGAAAGGACAAACAAAGATAAGGCTGAGTGAAGAGAGAGAAAACCTTGAGTTATAAATTACTCAGTTTAAAATGTCAAGGGAAACTTGTCTCAAAGTTTCCCTTTCTATGTTTTGAAGCTTGTTAATAATGGAAAGTCCTTTTAAACAAGACATTTAATTTTCAGATTCCAACAAATCCATTGACAGCAAAAAAAATACATAGAACTTATAATAAAACATATACACTGAATGGAAAAATCTCTATGGAATTAGTTCAGTAACTATAGTTGGATTCCATTTTCTTTATAAAACACATTTTACCATAACTCTAAAGACTTATAAAACATGATCTAGAATAGGAGAAATAATTACAATCTATTAATCACTACTGACCACAGGAAAAAAAATCTGTAATAAATATAAACACACAATGGTATCTTGTTTTACAAAGAAAATGTGAACTAATTCTTGTGTCAACTACTAAAAGATGGAAAATTTCTCCATTTCAATACAGAATCCAAAATGTAGATGAAAGTTTTCACCTTAGTAAAAGAAGCGTAACTGTTATAAGAAACAGAATCTTCCTAAGAAATAGAAGAAAGATTTTTTAAAACATAAACTACCACCATGTGATGAGACAAAATCTGATATGCTGCTGTGCAGAATAAAATCACTAAGAATATTTCTCGAAGCAATTTTTCAAATGTTTATGGTCTTCAATGCACCATTTCTACTAACAGAAAGCTAATCTGAGAAAGTAATCAGAAATATGACCAGATATTCAATGATGCTATACAATGTTATTTATAATAGTAAAGCCCGGAATATCCACAAAAAAGAAATGGTTGAATAAATTATGCTATGCTACCACTTTATTATAGCATTTAATAGAATGTCAAAATAACATTTGAAAGGGTCATAGATTCATATAAGAAAAATATGCTAAATAAAAATTTTAAAATAAAATATTCAAATTCATTTTTTATTGGAATACAACTGTTTTACAACATGGCATTAGTTCTGCTGTACGATGAAGTGAATCAGCTGCTATATATGTATGGTGGTGCTGGTGGTTCAGTCACTCAGTCGTGTCCAACTCTGCATGGGCTAGAGCCCACCAGGCTCCTCTGTGTGTGGGGTTCTCCAGGCAAGAATGCTGGAGTGGGTTGCCATTTCCTTCTCCAGGGGATCTTCCCCACCCAGGAAATGAACCTGGGACTCCTGCACTGCAGGCAGTTTCTTTACCAATTGAGCTACCAGGGAAGCGCATATACATGTATCAAATTCACTTTTAATTACATATATACATACAACCTGAAGAAGGAAATGGCGACTGACTCCAATAGTCTTGCTTGGACAACTCCATGGACAGAGGAGCCTGGTGGGCTGCAGTCCATGGGGTCGCAAAGAATTGGACACAACTTAGTGACTGAACAGTAACAACCACAATACACACAGCCATTTGCATGTCCATATACACATATAATTTTTATGCAGATAAAATTAGAAGGAAATACTGTGAAATTTTTTAAGCAATTTTTAGAATTACTTTTTTTCCCCTCTATTCTTTTCTGAAATAATCAGAAGTGAGACGAGGAAGGGAATATCGTTGTTTGGAAAATGTCACAATAAGACATATGTTGTGCCGCTGTCATGTCTCTAAGTCCTATCACTGACATAAATCGACCTGTGGCAAATGTGACTACCCTGCCAAGTGCAAGAGAAAATATAACTGGAGTGCCAAGGAAAGAAATGCTACTGGCACTAGTTGAATAAGGCACCTAAAAGTTGTATAAGCAGGTTCAGGCTTGAATACCTGAATAACATCACCTAATCCGAAAAGAGCAGCTGTGGCAGCATCCAGCTGATATTAAGCGTTTCGATAATTAGTTGTTCAATAAATGTTCCAGTTTAAAAAGAAAAACACTGAGCTTTCTACCATAGCATTTGTAAGTAGAAAGTTTCATTTTTAAAAAAGTAGCAGCTAAGTTTCTCTTTAAATAGGCATTTTTTAAAAAATGTAGGTTCTGATACACATAATGCACACATTCTACACTGAATATGATAAAGTCTGCAGACTCCTGGATTTCCATTATAACTCCATGCTGAGGAAAGCTATGAATGAAAAGGAAAGGGAAAAGCATGCTGTTGTCTTGATGTTTACTTCCTAACTGACAACTTTAAGGACACTAGAACATAAGTTAATGTGAGGGGAGGGAATTTGTGTGTTTTGTTCACTGCTTTATCCTGCTTTATTCTCAGCAAATATTTGTGAATAAATCTACAACTGATTTTTTAAAATTATGAATCACTTTCCTGTTATACAATGTTCTTTGTCTTGAATCAAAAAAGTAAGACAAGGAGGAAGTGCTGACTTTTATGTGATGAGTTGGGGAACTCACTGAATAAAATTAGTTCTGCTTTTTTTTTCTTCCTGCCCTTACAAGGGGGATGACTTTCTCTCTAGAGAAGTTCATCTCTTCTACTTTAATATTAACTTCCTTGCACAAATTGTATCCTGCTATTCTGATTAACTCATCTCACAATTTCTTTTATTTTTTCTGTATCTTTTTTCTTTGTGTATGGCCTTCTATGCACAGTTGACCCTGGAACAAATGGAGGGTTAGGGGTACTAACCACCATGCAGTCAAAAATCTATGTTTAACTTTACAATTAGCTTTCCGTAATTGCAGTAACCACATCTGTGGGTTCAGCCAACCGCAGATCATGTAGTACTGTAGTAGGTACTTTTTGAAAAAATTCACAAGGTCAACTATAGTTTCTTTCTCTTTTTAACTGTGCCTTATATGCTGGGTTTAACATCTTTACTTCTTAGTTTTATTATGGGGTTCATCATTTCTGATATCCTAATTTGTTCTTATTTTAATGTGCCTGGCTATTTTTATAGTCTGCTACTTTTTATATTTTAGAATCCCTGTTTTATTTATTAAATATATTTATCTTATATATTGGATACTTCTAATAGCTGAAATATCTGTAGATAAGTTTTAGTTCTGGTTTCTGCTGACTCTAGCTCAACGTATTTTTTTTTTCTCCCTTGTGTTTTGTGATTTTAAAAACATGTGTATGAGCTTATTTTTTAGAATTTTAACTATGACTGTTTGATAACTAGGTTGATAATCCTCTCTATGGAGGATTTGTGATGGTTTCTGAAAACTGTTTCAGACCCAAGTCTATTATAAATTAAAACTCTACTTGTAGAGTTTTGAGACCATGAAAATAGTATACAATAAGGCCTCAAATCCAAGCAAATGTGAGCTGGTAACCAGGAATTGCTCAGGGAGATTTTAACTCCACCTAGAGTTGTATGCCTCTCCAGGATGGTCTCTGACAGGCCCCCCATACACTTTGCAGAATGCAAGGGATTTTCCCCATTTTTCCCCATGTACAAGTTTCTATGCCAACAGAAATTGATGGATGCTGCCAAAGTATTCAGTGATTTCAGCACTTGTTTACCTCACAGAATAGATTTGCTTGGTTTCTAGCCCCAGAAAGTTTCCTTTCTTTTCTTATAGGTTCATCCATTTATTTTAAAGGATTTTTTAATTTGGAATCTACTATTTTACATATTTTATGGACATCTTCTCTATCATGATCTTCTCTGGTGGCTCAGACAGTAAAGAGTCTGCCTGCAATTCAGGAAACCTGGGTTCAATCCCTGGGTCAGAAAGATTCTCCTGGAGAAGGAAATGGCAACCCACTCCAGTATTCTTGCCTGGAAAATCCCATGGGCAGAGGAGCCTGGCAGGCTACATACAGTCCATGGGGTCACAAAGAGTCGGACACGACTAAGCAACTTCACTTTCTTTTCTCTATCATATTCTCAGAAATGGAAATCTATTTAATACTTCTGCAATTGCTTTGTACAATTTAAATTGGGATATTATAATTAATCCTGATAAATCTTGTTTTAGTGTGTTAGGGTAGTCTACAAGTCTGTCAGGGACACCTATAATCTTGACTGAGTTATTATTGGGTTGGCCAAAGAGTTCATTCAGGTTTTTCTGTTAGATGATATAGAGAAACCCAAATGAACTTTTTGGCCAATCCAGTATGTTAGCTTACCTTAGAAGTTTGTATCACTTGCAAATTTGCTTCAACTTTCTCAGCCTTCACCAGAGTCACTGATTAACACAGCTTCGGACAAAAAGAAAAGCTAAAAACTTAATTTAAAAAATCTTTATAGAAATTTTAACATTTTTTTCTTATTGTTATCAGGTACATAGAATTATAAATTGAATTTTCATCATCACCATATATCAATACAAATAAATCAAATTAAAATAGCCTACCCTGATTACTTGAACTGGTAGACATTTTAAAAAGTAGTATTGAACCAAATAAAAATATTTCAACATTGGGGGAAATAAGTAGAAATGTGAAAGGGTGTTATGGATAAGAGGAACAGCTGAAATCCCTATCAACCCTCACCTTACACAGGAGGAAACCACCTTATCTAAACTAGTATTTTCTAAACTACACATCTTCAATATGTACAAAAAGGTTGTGCAAAGCTTAGAAGAGCTCTGAAATATCACAAAGGGAAGCTTTGAAAGGTTTTTTGCTGATAAAAGCACCATGAAAACCCATGACTACTAGATTCTTTTTTCTTTTCTGCTTTGCCATAGCTTTAGTTCATATCTTTCACTAATTTCAGTCATCATTGGAAACTTTTATAAAATTTTTCTCTCAATACCCATATGATGGTGTACACGTGTACATGTGTGTATGTTTACATTTTCCCATTAGAAATAAGAGAAAACTTACACTTTCTCCTTTAGTATAATGCTCTTGCATGAAGAATGTATAAACCACTGACTCTGGGTCTGCATCTTTATTTTCTGAGCAGCAACTAGCGGTTTAAATAGAACATTTAGCTCTTGATATTCTTTCTTCGCAATACTTGATGTATATATCCTGCAATAATGTAGTAGAAAAAACACAGGCTTTGGAATCACATAGATTTGGGTTTAAATCTCAACATCTCTGACCCTCTTATGAAAATAGTATCACAAATCTCAAAGGACACCTGTTAAGAGTCAAATTTTATATATATATAGTGTCTAGCACAAAGCCTGCCATGTGACCTGTGCTCCGATATGTTATCTGTCTTTCTGTGTAATTTTGTACTTCATTTCCACTTTGCTCAATCTAGCAAAGGACTTTCCAAACTAAATTTTTTAAGTCATAGCCCTGATAAACTACTGTGGCTCTGTTCAAGAATTAACATTTTGCAACACTTATTTTACCCAACAATAGACTTAAAATACTTTTAAAATAGCAATGCAACAACAATTATACTACTGAATATATCCCACTAAGGTACAGTCGTCTCTTGTTATCCATGGGGGGACTGGTTCCAGCCCAACCCCCTCATGGACAACAAAATCCATGGATGCTTAAATCCCTTATATAAAATGGTATAGTGTTTGCATATATCATATGCACATTACACATACACTTTAAATCATCTCTATATTATTTAACAGTGTACATGCTCTATAAATTGGGGGCAAATTCAAGTTTTGCTTTTGGAACTTTCTCGAATTTCCTTTTCCCGGAACATGGTCAATCTGTGGTTGGTTGACACTGCAGATGCAGAGGGCCAAGGTACAGTCCAGAATTTATGTTCTAAAGTCACTAAAATTAGGGCTTCCCTGGTGGTCCAGTGATTAAGCATCTGCCTGCTAATGCAGGGGATATCGGTTCGATCCCTGGTCTGGGAAGATCCCACATGTTGTGGGACAACTAAGCCCATGAGCTGCAACTATTCAGCTTGCACACCCTAGATCCCATCTCTGCAACCAGAGAAGCCACTGCAATGAGAAGCTTGAGCACTGCAACTAGAGAAAGCCTTTGAGTAGCAACCAAGACCCAATGCAGACATAAATAAATTAAAAAGATAAAGTTACCAAAATTGTTCCTTTTCTTGAGTGGATATGTCATCAAAATTCTTTATAGTTACCTACATTCATTTCCTTTTTAGATTTCTCTTTCTACCTCTTTATTTTTGAATACGTAAACATACATGATTCTAAGATCAAAACTATATAAACAAGTTACAGAGAAATCTCTCCATCATTGGCACCATCCCTTCTACTTATAAATTAATCTATAGACTCTTCTGGGCTTTTGTTTTTTCCATTTCAAAATATACTCTGCAGATCACCCTATACTGGTGCATGGAGACTTTCTACAGTCTCTTTATGCCTTCTGAGGAAAAGAGTGGCTTGAAAGAGATACCATCAACCTGGAGATTATTTCATTGTTGCCAGTCCTTTGGTAGTACAAGTAATTCTGTTTGACTAAATTTATACAAATGCCAGTTTATATTTTATGCCAATGTGTCCTTAGGACAGATTCTTAAAAGTGAGACGTCTGGGTCAAAAGATACATGCATATGCGATTCTATGAGATACTGTCAAATTCCCTCCTGGGCTTTGTACTTTTGTATTCTTACCAGAAAGGCATCAAAGTGCCGGTCTCCCACAGTCCATAGACTGTATTATATAACTTTGGATTTGGGTGAGAAGGGCTTTTTTAAGATAATTAATCATTTGTGGCTGTTTTATAATTTTATTTTTTTTTTATAATTTTATTTTTAATTGAACAGAAATTGCTTTACAATATTGTGTTGGTGCTGCCATATGTCAACATGAATTGTTTTTGGCTGTTTTTTCAATATGCATGTATGCTCATTTGTGTCTGACTCTTTGCGACTCCATATAGCCGACCAGGCTCCTCCGTCCACTGAATTTTCCAGGCAAGAATACTGGAATGGGTTGCCATTTCCCTTTCCAGGGGATCTTCCCGACCTAAGGGTTGAACTCATGTCTCTTGCGTCTCTTGCATTGGCAGGTGGATTCGTTATCACTAGTGCCACCTGGGAAGCCCAGGTGAATTCTTTACCAACTGAGCCACCAAGGATATTCCTCTTTAGGGTAGGCTTTTCTCTTCTACTTGCATTCTACTGACCCCAGGTCCTGCTTCCCTTTCCTCTGTTCTGAAGTCTCAACTTCACTTGTCATCTGAGCACAGGTTCTAGAGCTGACACTGTTTTATTTCAGTGTTAACTTGCCTACATAACCATAATTTGAAATTATGTTAGGCAAGGGTGGTGGTAGTTAACTTTGCTCTCCTTATAGATCTGTGTGGTTTTCAAAAAGGATATATGGAGAGATTTGGATTTAGACAGTTACCATCATCTTACAGAAACCTTGAGCCAGGTTTTTTTTTTTTTTTTTAAATTATTTTCTTGACTTACTATATGTGATCAAAATTTTTACTTTTTGTATTCTGGAACCAAGATATTCTTTGTGGTCTAATATAAAATAGATTTTTATAACTGTCCTATGTGCACTTGAGAACATATATTCTCTATTAATGGATTCAGACTTTGATACAAATCTGTAAGAGCTACTTTACTGATTTTTTTGGTCCACTTAACCTGACTTCTGCCGAGACACGTGTTAAAGTCTTCTATAATTAGCAGGGTTCTGTTCTTACCTTTCTAGCAGTTTCTACTTTATGATGTCTATTGATGTGTCATTTGATAAATAGATATTTTTTAAAATCTTTACTGTAAATATAGCCCTTAGCTTTATAAGGGTTATTTTATAATATCCTTCATCTTAATTTTTCAATTAATTCTTTTCAATTAAATTCTGCCTTTTCTAATACTAAGATGATGAACCCTGCTTTCTAAAAACTTTGCATTTATTTGATATGTCTTACACTCTTATTATTTTTATTCATCTATTAACTCCCTTTATACTTTTTACAACTGTATCTTTCATATACAACAATCATTAAGTTGAGCCATACACATGTATTAATACATCTGATATATTTTGTGATGAGATAATGCTTCACCTTCTATTCATTTTGTGTGTGTACAGATAAAAATATACAGAATGTGTGTTCACATCATTATATGGTCTGCTCTCTTCGCTCTTTTTAGGGTAGGTATTTCTTTTAACATTTAGGGGAGTGTTATATATTTTGTTATCAGGGGTTAACTCTATAATAATAGCTTTATACAATACTCCTCATTTTCCCCTGCCCTTTTTAAGATACAGTTAGTTCCCTGCTATTAACAGTAACAAAATTACTAACTTCCTCTTCTCCCTCACCTGGTATTGTAACACTTTAATGAGTGCTTTACATCTAAGTATGTACACTTATTTATAACATGTTTCTGTCCATCAGTCAGCTTCAAGCATTATCCTTTTCCTTATAGCTAATTCCTTTGAAGCAAGTGACCACTATTCCACTTTGCACTTCCACTCACCCCCTCCTCCCTTTTTCTGTAGGTTGTATTATTTCAACATCAAGATTATATAATATTTACATACCATTCTATCACTATATTATCATTCCTATCACTATTATGTCTGAAATTCTCCAGTATATTCTTCAAGAAGGGTTCTAGGAACAACATTCCTTGAGTTGTTTCACGTTTATAAACGCTTATTGATGTCCTGAATTCTTAATAGTTTGGTGAGAAATGGAATATTTATTTCCTTGAATTTTTAAAACATGTTGGGCTATTGTTGTTTAGTAGCCAAGTTGTGTCCAACTCTTCTGCAACCCATGAACTGCAGCCCGCCAGCCTCCTTTGTCAATGGGACTTCCCAGGCAAGAAAACTGTGGAGTGGGTTGCCATTTCCTTTTCCAGGAGATCGTCCCAACCCAGGGATCAAACCTACATCTCCTGCATTGGCAGGAGGATTCTTTACCACTGAGCTACCAGCATGCTTTGTTAACATCTGGCATAAAATGTCACTGCTAAAAAACTCTAATCCTATCTGATTTTCTTTCCAAGTTTACTTGGTCTTTTCTCCATGGGTGCAGTCATGGAAGTCAAACTTGTGTCTTAACTAATACAAGTTTAAAGTCAAGGAGTATGAGCTTTGTCAATACTACCATGGCGTGTGAAATGTTAAGAAAAAGAAAAGGAAGACCTAAAATAATTCAGGACACTGGCAGTGATAGTAGAAAATGAAGAAAGCCATTTGGAGGCTGAAGTTACAGATTATAATTGGGCAAAAGGGAGACATAAGAATTTTGTTCTACATCTGAGCCACTGAAAAGCCATTAATCAAGACAGGAAACATGAGAGAGGGTGAGTAGTACATAAATTGAGTAGATCTAATTATCAAAAGGCTGTGAGACATGTGTTAAGTGCTTAAGAGAGCAGAACTTTAGAATTAGGGCTCATTAACACAAAAATGAACAGCAGGAACAAGTGAGATTTCAAAGGAAGAAGTAGTGTTTCAATTCCCCTATGCTTTTCAAAAAACCTAAATATATAATAATTTAAACATTTCCTTGCTTAAGTGAAATATAACTGTACCATGTGTTTACCTCAGAAGAATTTTCAGTAGTTAATGGACATTCTCATAATTCAGACATCCAATCAATTCCATTGATTAGCTGAAAAGCACAAACTGCAGAAGTCATTTTGATTTTTATAGTTTTTATTTTTTAAATTGAAATCGTTACCTTACAATGATGTGTCTTTTTCTGTCACACAGAAAACTGATTCAGCTATACATGAATACATTTTTTATTTTCTTTTCCAAAACAGTTTACATCAGGAATATTGAATATAGCTCTCTGAGTTATAAAATAGAATGATCTTTATAAGTTTTAAATAATTTTTTATTTTTAGTCACATTGTTTTATTCCCATAATGGACCTTATTGAATATCAGAAAAATAATGGTGAAACACATCAAATTAAAGAATATAGAAATATTTCTGAAAATTTCAAAATGTTCCCCCTAAAGTGACATC